CTGGGGATCTTCCCCAAAGAATTAAAAGAATCATACCACAGTGATATATGTGCACCCATGTTCACAGCAGCAGTTTGTGATAGCTAAAACTTGGAAACAGCCCAAATGCCCATCAACTGGAGACTGGATAAATGTGGGGTTTTTTACAAAATGGAGTACTACTCAACCATAAAAAATGAGAAATTAGAGACATTTATAGCTAAGTGGATGCACATTGAGGCGATACTCTTAAGAATCCAATAAAATTTTATAAGCCAAAATTGGACCCAATTTACCTCATAAGCCATCAACTGTTGACCCCTGCTCCAATGCTACACAAAATGCATGTCATCAAATCTCAATTCTATCTCCATCTACACATACCTCAAACATTCCAACTTTTCTGATTTGATTAATCCCTGCCTACCATTATGCAAGTCCTGAATTTATTCACTGTTTTATATGGGCTCTGCATTCATTTTTGTCCATCATAAATGCTATGTTCAATCCAGAAGCAGTGTTTTGTTTACATTACAAAAGTAGACATATCACTTCTTTCCTTAAAACTATGATGCAGTGGCTTCCTAATGACCTTAAAAAATATACTGTAAAATCTACCATAACTGTCAGGGCCCTGCCTTTCTGTCCAACCTAGTTCATCCACTCCAGTTTTTTTTTTCTCTAATTTAGCTTTCTGTCTTTTCTCTCCTGTAAGAACACACCAGGCTTTGTACTGCCTGAGGGACCTATGCACATAAAATGTTCTCTCAAATCTCCTATATAACCCTACTTTACAGCTAAACCCCTTGGTTAGCTACATAGAACTCACCCTTTAGGTTTAAACATTTGTCTTTTCAGATTTTTTCCTTGACCTCAAGTTATCCTGCTCAGTAGTCTGGTATCATCCTTGCCACTATTAATGTAAAATCCCTCTTTTAGCTAGAATAAAACCTCCACGGGGGCAAGGGCTACACTATTTCTCTATTTAAGGGCCAGTTCATTGAAGGCATCCCAATGAAAATATGCCCAAAAATCAACAGTCCTCATGAATAATTCAGTACAGCAAATCTAAGAAGACATGCCTATACACACTGAAATCTGATTTTTAATTTTCCTTCAGAGTTAACTTTTCCTCATATTTCAGTAGGAATGAGCTTTAACTTATTATTAAAAAGGATATCCCATTTATGACCAACTCAATTCCCATTTCTAGTACTAACAAAACTTCTATCACCCTTTTCCTGGAGTCTCATATTTTGAAGATTTGTGGTTCACGAGTTTTGGGTAAGAACTGGAGCCAACTTGAAAAGAACTAAGTAGTCTTACTTTTCCTTGATAATAACATTTGTGGCCTGAGAAAGTGTTTCATAAGATAAGCTCACACTATAACAAAGGAAAAAAAAGAGGCAAAAAATGATGCTCACAGCCAAAGTAAAAGTTCACTTAAATGAAAATAAGGAAAGGAAAGAGAAAAAGGAACAGAAGCAAAATGAAGCTAGCAGAGATTAAGCTTAGGGATCAAAAATTGTAGGTCATCAAAAAAAAAAAGATTATATGGATCTATATATACCTGTATCGGATCATCATCTAGTTCATTCTTTCAATTTTAAAAATAAATTTGACAACTCAAATCAACTTGTACATGTAGACTTTGCCCTAACTTTTAAGTTGCAAAGATAGATAATATTAAATACCATGTGAAATAAATTGGTAATTACTAATAGTCATCTTGCGTGAGACGCAGGGCAGGGCCTCCCGAAGCACTTTTGCTACATATCAGGGAACACAGATAAAGACTGAGCTGGGGGCCCTGGATTGGACCTTGGATGGAGCTTCCTTTCTGACAGGATAGCAGCACTGTCCACAGGACTCCGATACTTGAGAGCTAGGGACCCACAAGGGGCGCCTGGCTGCGAGGCTGAGCTGCACAGTCCCCGCCCTAGGACTGGGAAGAGCGCAGAAAATCAGCACCTCAGCTTAGGTCTGGGTTGTCCTAGGTCCCGGTCCTCCCCTGGAGCCTTCCCTTCCTCCTTCGGCCTCCCCACAGGCCAGGCTCACCTACAGACCGGTGAGACACCCCCACAGCCAAGAGTCGACCAGAACCACACAGACCGCCCGCCCATGCACTTCCGCTTCCGGTCTCGCGGCCTCTGGGAGCGGAAGTGGCTAGGACTCCGGCTCTCGGGACCGGAGATCCGGGACTCCTCCTTAGTCGGGGAAAGACTGAGCCGCCTCAGACTTTCAGTCTCTGAAGAGAAATTCTCGTTTCCTTCTCCAGGAATTGAGGTCACGGTGAGGTCCAAAACGGCCTGGATGGTGGAGCTGCAGCAGGGTCTACGTCAAATGGACGGGCCTTAGGACTGGTGACTGGGGGGGTAGGGACTGCCTTTGTGCTTGAAGGGTGAGGACGACGCTGCGCAAGATGGGCGGGGCTGCGGTGGAGGGGCGGGGCTCCCTGACTAGTCGGAGGTGCTGGATGTCTAACTTTCCCTCTCCTTCCTTTCCCGACCTTATACTTTGATCCATTTCCTTAATCCAGTGCCCTACAAAAACATACATGTACCTAAGGTGGTTGTTTTCCGTCTAATTTGTATTAAAAATGGGAATGTATTCTTTATTTTACAACTTCTCACTAGAAGTTATGCGCATCTGTTGAACATAATGTCTCTTTTTAAAATGTTATGTAAATGTATACATAACAAAAATATATATGTACAGTTTTACTGTCAGTGTAATGCTAGCCTCTGGGGAAAAGTTTGACAGTGCTCTTTGCTTTTCAATTTTATGGAACAGTTTAAGAAATATTGACATTAGACCTTTCCTGAAATTCTTGTAGAATTTTAGAGTGAATCTATCAGGTCCTGGGTTTTCCTTGGTAGGGTTCTTATTACTTTCACTATGTCATTGTTGTTATTGGTCTCTTCAGGTTTTTTATGTTTTCTTTCAATTTTAGTAGTTTATGTGTGTCTAGAAATTTCTCCATTATTTGTAGGTTCTCCAATTTATTGGAATACAAGTTTTTAAAATAGCTTCTTAGAATCCTCTGGATTTCAGCAATGTTCACTGTGAATTCATTTTTTTCATTTCTAATTGCATCCATACGGGTTTTTCTTTACTTTGTTAAGTTTTGACTAAGGGTTTGTCAATCATGTTCATCCTTTTAAAGAATCTACTCAGTCATTGACCCTATGTATAGTTTTCTTTTTTAATTTTAATTTTTATTGGTTTGTATTTGCAGTACATAAGGATTACATTCCTCATAGGAATTGGGTACAGGTACATAATATTTCCTAATTCTTTTTTCATTCATTTCTTTCCCCTCTATCCCTCACCCGCTATCTCTGGTACCCTTCCGTTTCACAAAAGATTTATCTCCCTGTTTCCTATTACCTATTTTATGTGCTCTTCAATTTTTTTTTCAGTATTTTGGTTATCTTGTATAAGTGAAATCATATATTTAAGTTTCTGTATCTGATTTATTTCACTTAATATTATGGTGTCAAGGTGCATCCACTTTCCTAAAAATAACTCAAATTTATCCTTCTTTATGGAAGAGTAGTACTCCGTTGTGTGTCCATCTGTTGATGGACATATAGGCCACTTTCAAGATTTAGTGATTATGACTTGTACTGTTATAATCATGGGTACACATGTATCACTGTAATAAGATGTATTTATTTAACTCTTTCAGGAAGATACCTATAAGAGGACTAGCTGGAGCTAGTGGAATTTCTGTTTTTGATGTTTTGATGAATCTTGAATCTGATTTCTATAGTGTTTGTACTAGTTTACATTCCCACCAAAAATAGAGAAGAGTTCCTTTTCCCCCATAGCATAACTGGCATGTTATTTGATTTCTTTATGATAATCATTATTCTGGTATAAATTGGAATCTCAGTGTTGTTTTAATTTTCATTTCTCTAATAGCCAGAGGTGTTGGAACTTTTTTTCATGTATTTATTGGCCATTTGTACTTCTGAGAATGTACTTATATTCATTTTAGCTGCCCATTTTTTGATGGAGTCTTTAATGGGGGGGTCTAATTTTTTTCAGTTCTTTATATTTTGTAGATATTTGTCCTCTGTCTGAGGAATAGCTAGCAAAAATTGTTTCCCATTCTGTAGGTTATCTCTTTAATTTCTTGATTGTTTTTGCTATGCAGAAGCTTTTTAATTCAATATGATCCCAGTTGTTGATTCTTCATGTTACTTGTGCAACTATGGTTTTTTTAAAAGGAAGTCCTTTCAAATGTTGTCTTCAAGAGTTTTGCTGATTTTATCTTCCAACATCTTAAGTGTTTTCTATTTTAATATTTAAATCTTTACTCCATTTTGATTTTAGTTTAGTACAAGGTGAGAGATACGAGTATAGCTTCAATCTTTTGGCAGTTTTGCAGGATCATTTGCCAAAGAAGCTGTATTTCCTCCAGCATATTTTTAGCCCTTTTGCCAAAGATCAAATAACTGAATGTTCTTAGTGTTGTTTCTGCATCCTCTTTTCTGTTGATTGATCCACATGTCTGTTTTTGTTCTGGTAACATGCCATTTTTTATCTCTAGCTTTGTAATGTAACTGGAAGCCAGGTGTTGTGATGCATCCTGTTTTGCTCTTGTTGCCCAGGATTACTCTTGCTACTTTGGGTCTCTTCTGGTTCCATATGAATTTTAAGGTAGTTTTTCCTAGTTCTATGAGAAATGCTATTGGTATTTTCATTGGGATTGTTTTAAATCTGTATATCAGTTTTAGAGGTATGGCAATTTTGGCCATATTTGTTCTGCCTTTCCAGGAACAGAGAATATCTTTCCATTTTCTGATGCCCTGTTTGATCTCCTTTTTTACGGTGTTGTAGTTTTCATTCTAGAGGCCTTCCACTTTCTTGGTTATGTTAACTCCCAAATATTTAATGTTTCTTAATGCTATTGTGAATGGTTATTTCCTAATTTCTAAATGAGTTCATTATTGGAGTACAGGGATACTATTGCATTTTGTGTGTTGATTTTGTGTCCTGCTACACTTCTGAATTTGGTTATTACTTATAAGAATCTTGTTGGAATTTTTGAGTCTTCTATGTAGACAGTCTTGTTATCTTCAAATAATGATAATTTTACTTCTTTTCCTATAATTATCCCTTTTACTTATTTATTTTTCCTTGTTGATTTTTCTGGCTAATGTTTGGATAACTGTATTGACCAGAAATGCTGATGGTGGACATCCTCATCTTGTTCCTAGTTTTAGAGGGAATGTTTTCAGCTTTTCCCCCCTTAAATGTTTGTAGTAGGTTTGTAATAAATGGCTTTACTCAGATTAAGATAAGGTCCTTTTACACATATTTTCATGGTTCTTATCATGAACAGATGTTGGATCTTGTTAAATGCTTTTTCTGCATCTTTTTCAGGTGATCATGTGATTTTTATCCTTTCTTCTATTTGTTTGATGTATTACATTTATTTGATTGCATATGTTGAACTATCTTTACATCCTTAGGATGAAGCCTACTTGTTCAAGATGTATCAGTTTTTTAATGATTTGTTGTATTGTTTGCCAATGTCTTGTTGAATATTTTTGCATCTATGTTTACTAACAGATTGGCATGTAGTTCTTTTTTGCAGGCCCCTGTCTGGTTTTGGAATCAGAGTAATGCTAGCTTCCAGAAGTGACTTTGGGAGTACTCCTTGTTTTTCATTAAAGAATTTGAGAAGTATTGGTATCAGATCTTCCCTGAAGTACTTGTCAAATTCAAAGGTGACTCCATCAGGTCTGGGGCTTTTCTAGTTGGTAGTTTATTAGTACTTTAATTTCATTGCCTTTTACTAGATTATTCAAAGATTTTATATCTCCCTGGTTATGTTTTGATAATTCACATCTAGGAATATACATATAGGAATCTATTTGATTTCTTTTTAATTTTCTAATTTATTAGAGTACACATTGTCAAAGTAGATACTAGTAATCTGAACTTGGCTCTATTGGTTGTAATTTCATCCTTTTCATTGTTTTGTGTCTTTGCTTTCTTTCATAAGATTGGCTGGCAATTTTGTTTATTCTTTAGAAGAATCAGCTCTTTGGTTTATTCTTTGTATTGTCTCAATTTCATTAATTTCTGCTCTGATCTCTATTATTGTTTCTTGTACTATTTTGGATTTGCATTGTTAATGTTTTTATAGGATATTGAGAGAGGGTTAGGTTATTTATTTGGTCTCATTTTTTCTTTTTTTTCCCAAGTTTATTTGTACATTTTAGGTGTATAATACAGTTACATTCATCATTGGGATATTGTACATGATGTATCTTGGTTCTTATTTTTTCCCCATTCCTCTACCCTCCCTTCACCCCCTCCACCCTTCCCTATTTACAAAGACTGTTTCCATTTTTTTCCTTTTCTCATGTTTTTCCTTTTCCCTTTCCTTTCCCCTGCCCCTCCCACTTCCCCTACTCCTTTAGACCTTTTTTCCTATTTGACAATATCAATTATATATTTTGATCCTTATTTACACTTTTAGTTTTTTACACAGAGAAACTATTCGATATTTACACGTGTGTCCTATTTATTTCACTTAAGAGTAT